TTTCTGTCAACCCGTCAGATTTGTTGTGAGCTTTGAAACTCTATTTTCTCTTGCTCAGATCAGCATGCTTTCTTCATTGAAGTTGTTCCTCAGCTTGTGAACTTCAACATATCCAAATTTGAGATCCCTCGGAGAAGTATAACTCCAGAAATCCAGGTATGATGAATGACTGGTTATTATTTTTCTGTCAACCCGTCAGATTTGTTGTGAGCTTTGAAACTCTATTTTCTATTGTTCAGATCAGCATGCTTTCTTCATTGAAGTTGTTCCTCATCGTCTCTTTCATAACATATCAAAAATTCAGAATGAACTAATGGTTAAATATTTCCAGATCTTCGAAACATCACAGCAGCTTCGAAATCTGCAAGAATCCGACTGTCATGCTTGGAGCTTCAACACTTTAATTTCCGTGGCTCAAACAGAAATGGTTCCTTCTTGAAAGTTGTTCATCTGCTCAAGAACTAGAGGGTGTCCAAAATTCAGCTCCATTGGAGAGAAGCAGCAGCTGCAAAAATTTGATAGAGAAAAGGAGGCGAAGCTTTGTTGGATTTCTAGGCTGGGGAAGATTCCAGTTTTTGTAGCAACTTCAGTACTGGTGAATTGCTTGTATTTTTGTCCATAACTAAATTTTGGACTTTGAATTATTATTTGATCTATCATAATATGTTTGGGAACATATATAAGTGAATAAATAAGAAGGAAGATTTTGGGCCCTTGTGGGTGTAAAACAAAAAAATGTTTAGGTTGTGTGAACAAAATTTGTTTATTTGGAGCAAGGTTTTGTGTTGAAGCTTTGTAGGTGAAGCTTTGGTGTTGAAGCTTTCTAGGTGAAGCTTTGATGGTGAAGCTTTGTAGATGAAGCTTTGTAGATGAAGCTTTTTTAGGTGAAGCTTTGTAGGTGAAGCTTTGATGGTGAAGCTTTGTAGATGAAGCTTTGTAGGTGAAGCTTTTTTAGGTGAAGCTTTGTAGGTGAAGCTTTGATGGTGAAGCTTTGTAGATGAAGCTTTGTAGATGAAGCTTTCTAGGTGAAGCTTTTTTAGGTGAAGCTTTGTAGGTGAAGCTTTTTTAAGTGAAGCTTTGGGCCCTTGTGAAGCTTTGGAGGTGAAGCTTTTCGGGTGAAGCTTTTTTTGGGTGAAGCTTTTTTGGGTGAAGCTTTTGAGGTGAAGCTTTGTGGGTGAAGCTTTGGAGGTGAAGCTTTTCGGGTTTTTTTGGGTGAAGCTTTGAAGCTTTTGGGTGAAGCTTTTCTTTGTGGGTGAAACTTTGGAGGTGAAGCTTTTCGGGTGAAGCAAGGCCCAAGGCCCAAATATACGAGGCCCTAAATATGGTATAAACACAACCTAAATCAAGAACTCTATCCCTATAAATAGGCTCCCATTCTCACCAAAAACCTAGGTCCTCACTCTTGCTAAAATTCTCCAAAGCTCTCAAACACTTTTATCTCAAAATTCTAACTTTGGCATCGAAGGTTCTTCGGCCAAAGCCCCCCCCATTCATCGTGGGTGCGTGAGGCTCTTAGCCTTGACCTAATGTGTTATTTGTTTTGTAGGTGCAATTTTGTCCAAGATCAAGGAGGAAGAAATTTGCATCCACACACGTAGTGCCTAATCATTGGCTGTGCGGACTCCATCTTTGCTACATCATTAAATTAATAGAAAATTTGATATAATCAAACGACAAGGACCACATTGATATGCGGTGGTAAATTTTAGGAACGACATTGACTAATTTTCAAATTAAATAATCAAAATGATGAGTTAGGTCAATTTCAAAGTAGATATATACAACATTGCTCCTATGACCACATCCTTACATGGTGATCATGCTAATAGAGCAGTGTCATTTTGTCACACGTATGCGTTTATGTGAAATTGAATCACACATTTTATATAAAGATCAACAAAAGTTAGATTTGCAGTAGGATGGACTTCATATTAGGCTTGGCAAATGAGTCGTGTTTATATCATTTTCGTGTCATATACCCGTTATCTTAATGGGTTGTGTGAAACCTGTTATCTTAACAGGTGACCCATTAACAACCTCTTTCCTTAACAGATCATGTATATTTCGTGTCGGATTAACGGATCATGCTATAAATTGTCATGCTTAATGTCTAAATCTGGCAAACAATATCTTATCTGATTCTTAACAGGTGATCCGATAAACGATCCGACCAGTTAACGAGTTCTTAATGGGTTACTCGGTAACTACCCGACTCATTATCGGGTTGACCAGAAACTACTTATTTTCATATTATTTCTTGTCAGGTTAACGGATCGTGTAAGAAAGTGTCTAACATGCTCCATATAATGGATGTTTAAGATAAACACTTTTTATATAAGTTTTTGTTATAATTTTCTTATACAATAATGTTATATTATCTTAAATATCTTCGCAATGGCGTACAGTACCAGAAATTTTTTATTATGATCGGAATACGGATGATACACTACGTGTTTTTATATAAGTGGTGAAAAATTGTATTTTTTAAGTCATTAAATTTTTAATACACATATTTCACTATATGTATAGTAACACGTAATGTACTATCTTATATTTCAATCATACTAAAAAATCTCTCAGTAACCGTTTGTCAGTCTCCCAGTCTAATCAAGAATTCGTGAATCACGAGGCCAACAAGTCTTCATCCTACTTTATATAAGGACATTGACCGGCACTTTTTTAAATGCCTTTAGTCCCTCACCCACCCTCAAAACCTCACCACTTTCATTTTTATTTTGAATAATAAGAAGGTTAAATTTAGAAATAAAATTTACAAATTAAATAATATGTCATCAATAAAAATAAGATAAACGAATCATCAATTTTTATATCCTTTAGTTTTCAAAATTTTATCTCCTTAACATTACACTTTTACTTTTGTTACAAAATCTCACAACTTTAAAACCATCCCAAAAGTTACAACAAAAATCCAATAAGAAACCGCAAAATATTGGTTTAATAAAGATTTGGATTCTCCATTCAAGTTCTAACTTTTACAAATGTATTTTTTTTAGTCAATAGCTCTGATTTGGGTTAATAAATACCAAAAAATATGATTCCGCTTTATAGATGCTAAAGTCTCATGATGAAATAAATCAACATGTTATCAATGTGAGGTGGAATATTTTCTAAATTAAAAAAGAAAAATGTTTACATTCCTTCTATAAGCGGACATTCCTTCTATAAGCGCATGAGCTCATTCTCCCACTTACTTATAACTTATAACGTATATTCATCATAAAAGTTTCATAACTAAACCTTTCAATCTTCTAATATTCATTTGAAGATTATCCATATAAAAAGTCATTTGAATCAGATACCGTTTAGTCATCTAAATGTATGAAAAAAAAATCAACGATTCATTATGAATATGCTACTTGTTATCAACACCGTTGATTTATTGATACATTTGGATGACTAAACGATATCTAATTCGAATGATTTTTATAAAGATGATTTTCAAATGAAAATTAAGAGACTAAATGGTTACGATTATGAAACTTCTACGATTAAGATATGTTATTTGCAAGTAGAGAAATAAGTTCATTCCCATAAACAGAATGAAGTATTCGGTGTTCTAAGAAGCAGCGTAGCCAGCCCCTAGGCGATAGGCCGTAAGTTGCCGCTGCGACAATCCCTAATCGGTCTGAAAATTGGAAAGCTTGTTAAGCGGCTCCTTGATTTTAATCCCTAATCCCTGATTTTTTTTATTTTTTTATTTATTATTTATTTTATGCAAACCGACAGCGCATTCGAAGAAGAGGATGGCTTGTCTACATGTTGTCGTTTTGCCAAAAGTTGCCTGTTTCGGTTTTTATTCAAACTTTTTGTTATCACTTTTCGTTTTCTTTTATTTTAATCAGCGAGTGACTTTTCACTTTTATTATTATTATTGTCTATTTGTAAGACACTACTGTCTCTCACCAATAATATCTGCACTTTTTTATTTTGTCTTGGCTATGTCTATCCTATATATTAATAATAGCACACCTTTTATCAATTTTTTTAAGAGTTTTAACAAAAAAAAATTCCGATACTGTTCATTTTTAACGAAAAACTACATTTATATATTTTCCTGATACCATTCACTATACCTTTAAAAATGACTTTTCATTAAAAGTGAAGGTTTTTTGGACTTTTCATTATTTTATTTTTTTTGTTTTTGAACAAAGACCCTTTATCAATTAAAAGCTAAGGAGAATATAAGTGTAAATAGTTACTTATTTATATGATACATAATAAATTTGCTTAATATGTTTAGTCTGCCAAGTCGCCTAAACGTTAGGTCTTACTTCGCCACTCGACTAGAGCTTAGTGCCTTTTAGAACCATGCAATTGTTATACTTAAAAAAAATCTCTCGATTCAAGGGAAAAGAGATTAGTTTGGCTCATCAATGAACAAGGAGTTTCTCTTTAATTCACCTTGTGGCCAATTTATGGGATTTTATGCTCTTATGAGCAGAACCATTCATGTTATAAAACATTTTGTAAAGGCCATCTCTTAAAAAAAATCAATAAACTATGAGATCGTTTAGTCATCACACTGTATAAAAACATATGAAAGAATCTAGTAAAAGAATTACAAAACCATCTATCCATTAGCTACAATAATTGACTAGACGACTTTATTTTCTATTGATCTTTTTTTTTTCTTTTTTTGGTTGACAACGGGGCTTAATGCCGAAAGAATATGAAGATTAGATAAGAATATAACGAGGTCACGAGACCCAAACTATATTTGCAATTAGTAACAGATGACAAGGAGGTGCTTGCTCAAAAAATACTGAACTCAAACTACATGACAAACACAAACGAGCCAAATCATCAGCAACAAAATTCTTTTCACGATAGATATAACGAACTTCTATTGATCTTTTAATTTTTGCAAAGTTATTTATAATACGAACAATTTCAATAAACTAAAGGTAATCGATCACAAAGTATCTTTAAAAATAAAATAAAAAAAAACCTCCTCAATCTATTTAAGGAGCCAACCTCGCTCAAGAGAAAATCCAAAATCCAAACTCCAATAACAAAAAGCAAAAGCTTCTTCCCTTGTTCCGCCTTGCCCTTCCCTCTCCTTTCCTTCCATCTTCTCAAGAAACAAACAGAAACCACTACAAGCAACAACATTAGCAAGAAAATAAAGAAATACATAAACCCAATAAGCACCATTACAATCTCGAAGTACGACATACAACCTCTCTCTCTCTCTGTCTCAAGATTTCAGCTTCAGAATTTGACATCTGAAAGTGAAAAGTTAATCTTTTTGTGTTTTTTTTTTCTTGATTCCCAGATCCGACTACGCAAAAGAGCGCAACACCCAAGACGGCCGGAGAGCGATGTTGTCATCGTCGACAACAAGCGTTCACGTCATGGCCCTGGACGGCCTGGTCAACGTGAACTCACTCTTCACCATCGCCGTCTTCGTGGGGCTTTCTCTGGCGACTCCGGGACAGAGGAGCCTCGAGAACCGGACATCCTGCGACGCCGGGATCGACGTGGCGAAGGAGCTGCTGGTGTTCGAGGTTGTCTCCTTCAGCTTCTTCCTGTTCTCATCGCTGGTGGCGCAGGGACTGAAGCTGGCGATCAACCTGCTCAACAGCAAGGATGTCAAGGAGGCGTTGCATACCAACATCAATATGAAGGTGTTGAGATTCGGGATGTTGGGGTCGGCTTTCGGGTCGGTCATGGGTTGCGTGTTTCTGGTGCTGTCGATGGTGAATGTGATTCAGATCAGGCTGGGGATGCTTTCGTGTGGCAGCAAATCCGCCGTCCATGCTGTGGCGCCGCTTGTTGTTTTGGTCACGACGGCTCTTTTGGTTTATATTTCTACTGCTGTTTATGCTTTTCTTCACTAGCTGCTGAATGCATATTTATGCAAGTCTCTTGTACGATATCATGAAAGTGTAAGATAGACCCTTAAGCAATATAAGAGCAATTCCACCCCTAAGGACTTTGCGCCAGCACCTAGCGCATTTATCCACTCAAATAAACAGTAACAGACTCTAATGAACAGTAATAGGTCAAGGCATCTCCACCCCTAAAAAAATGCGCTAGCACCTAGTGAAAAAATGCGCTGGCACAAACGATCTCCATCCCTACAAAATGCGCTGGCACCCAGCCCATTTAAAATATTTTTAAATTTTGTCTAAAAGAATAAAAAAATAAAATAGTTTTAATTTCGGATAGGATTTTTAATCAATCTCGTCACGCCACGTGTCATTATCTGAACGTACTATTTTGTGAATAGATTTCCGCTAAGATTTTCAACCAATCCCGACACGCCACGTGTCACTTCCGTTTTACAATAATTTAGCCAAGATTTCGATAAGATTTTTAACCAATCACGTCATGCCACGTGTCATTATCTGAACGTATTTTGTGGATAGATTTCTGATAATATTTTCGACCAATCCCGACACGCCACGTGTCACTTCCGGTTTACAATAATTTAGCCAAGATTTTGATAAGATTTTCAACCAATCACGTAGTGCCACGTGGCATTGTCCAGAACCTCATCCTTTCTTTTTTTGTCCATATAAACCATACATCCCTACATCCATCCTCACACCAAGCTCAATCCTTCTTTTTAGCTCAGAATCCTTGTTCATCGTTTTCAAATCTTGAGTTCTTATTACAATGTCTTCTTCAAGAAGGGTGTATAAACAGTTGCAGGAGCAACAACAAAGGTTGTTGGCACAACAGGCAGAATTGGCCAATCTCGAGGAAGGTGGAGGTGGAGGTGGAGATGAGGCTTTCTTCATGGAGGAGGATGAGGGTGGAATAAATTAAAATTTGGTGCGGGTGGAATGCATATAAAAATTACATAAGAAATAACATAAAAATTACATACGAAATTAAATAAATCAAAATATTGATGTGGGTGGAATGCATATAAATAAATAAAAATATTGTCACCTGATCCGCTAAACTTGTCCCACTACGAAGGTTACCAGAAGCATGAGAGATGGCGTTTTTCTAACAAGTAAAGGATGCGTTGAATTTTTTCCAACGACCTTGAAGACCTTGACTAGTTCTGGCGTTTTCTCCATGTACATCTGTTGACCCTAGAAACTACCAAGCCTACGTGGCGCGCAGGCCGAGTAATCTATAAGCTAACTACGTCCTTCGGTGAATGCGGGGCGTGCCAACTCGTCGGCCGAGCTCGGCCGAGGAGTAAATTTTGCTGATGTCGCGTTGGATGCGCGGCTGACTTCTGCGTCTTGCGATTGCGGCCGAGAAAGGAACGCGTCTCGGCCTTTTGGGCTCTCGAACCTGAAGACAAGGTTACTATCCTTACGAAGTTCAATATCAAATTCGGCTCTCAATGTGCCGAATGTAATAACTGTAACACCTCACTTTGCCGAGAAGACTGATGAGATGACCTCGACCAATAAGGATTCAAAAATCCTTCTCGACCGAGACTTGGATAGGTAATCAACCGTCCTCGCCGCAGTGCTGTTGATGCCAACGAAAGATGCTGCGAGACCGGCTGATTCTACGGTGACAGAGCTATCTATGCCGACTTAAGATATCACCGGTTGCTTTCACAGTGCTGTTGATGCCAACGGAAGATATGTCAGCGAAAAAAGAAAGAAAAAATCTCAAGTTGTTGAGTTTGCGCAAGGCAGTTGTATTCATTTGCAGGTCATTTTTCCGTTGTTCGTGACTCTGTATTTATAGTGGCTGATGTACTTGCTTGGCACGGCTAGATAGAGTTTGACTGCAACTCTAACTCACTAAATAAAATTTGATCCATAGCTTTTAAAATTCTGCGACCTCCAAAATAAAGCCCATCCAGGCTTTATCACATCTAATCTACCTAGGCTTCTGATTTTATTAAAACCTCCAGCAGAAACCTTCACTTCAATCACACAAAAAGCCTAGTCTAGCTAGGTTTGTTGTGTCATCATCTCAACCTAGGCCTATCACATCACCACCAAAATCCAATCTAATCCTATCCTATTTAGGCTTCTTCATAATCTATGCAACCTGATCCCCACCATATTTTAAATAAACAATAATCAATTTGCACCACACACCACACATTCGCGCTCCAGAACACCCAAGTCAGATTGACTTGTGCTGCCATGTTTCCAGTTGGAAATATATCTCTTATCTTTCATAATAAATTACTATTAAAAGATAATTATGATAACACCATAACATTATCCTTTAATAATAATAAAATGAATTATCTCTACTTTTCATCTGACGGTGTGAAACTTTGCTCATTCAACGGCCTTGATTACACGGGCCGATTGTGTAAATTTGGGTCCAAACAACATCGCAAAACGCTTTCGTAATTTTACTCCACATTTCTCGCTTATCCATCACATTCCCCGTAATTGGGTCATGAGTAGTGTGAACCCAACATTCACACAACGTAATATCTTCAATGAGCCTCCACGAAGACATTTTTTCTCTTAAAGTGTAGAAAATATTGAAATGTAGATAGTATAGAAAGTGTAGAAAATATTGAAATGTGGTGTAAAGGTGGAAGATGAGGGTTAGGTATTTATAGGAAAAAATTTAACATTTTTCAAAATTTTCTGTAATTTTTTTAAAATTTTATGTATTTTTTAATAATTTTTCTGTATTTTTTTAATAATTTTTAATGAATTTTAATATAGTTAATTAATCTGGACCGTTGGATTTGAAAAATATTCAAATCCAAGAGACAGGGAGTTGCCACGTAGCCAACGGACATATTTCTGACCGTTGGGCCTTTTTTTTTACTTTTTTGTGAAAAAAAGTGGACCGTTGATCTTTGATCCGACAGTCTATTTTAAAAGTAAAATTAAAATTTTTTTTACCGTTGGATTTCCAACGGCACAAAGAGAGCCACGTCGCCAACTCGGGGGGGGGGGGAACTGAGTGCGCTTGCACGCGGGCCCGCGTTCTGAAATCCTGTCGGGCACTCGCTCCAGCGCCTCCGTGAAGCGCACGCGCCAGGCAAACTGCCCAACTTCTTGCTCAGTCTTTTTTGGGCTGGTCCAGAGCCCAGCTCGGGCTGGGTACCAGTCAAGTTGAGGGGGTGGACTTGGTTGACAGGGTCCTGGCCTTGTTTTTGTGCTGGGTCCTGGGCAAAGTCCACTGGGGTGGAATTTCTCTAAGGGCCAACTTTATATTAACTTAACCACCAACCTAAAGAGAATGCATATTTATGCAACTCTCTTATACGATATCATGAAAATGTAAGTTAGACCTTAAGCAATATAAGGAGTGACTCTATGGATTCATTTGGATGTACTTTTAAAAATGATTAAAAAAAAATTTGGTTAAATTGATTTGAGTTCCAAAAGCACTTTAAGTGACTTTTTGAAGAAGCATCAGATATGTATTTCTTGTAGGAAGCACTAAAGTACTTTTCCAGGATCCATTTGGATTTTTACTAAGGATTGGTATCAAAAACATTTTCACCAAAAGCGCTTTCACTCATTTTAAAAGCACATCCAAACGAGCCCTATATCAACTTAGCCACTAACCTGAAGAAGATATCGTCTCAGGAAATAAGGCAAGGAACTAAAGTTCTTCTACAACTCTACACAACTGGAAAACAAGGCTCACTAAATGGGGCTTGAGTATTTCTATAAAACTTGCGTGTAAAGTGAGAGTGTAGGGACCTTAGTTATATATTGTATGTGATGGGTCTTTGATTAGGAGTCCTCCCCTTAAGAAAACCTTATCAAAGATTGACCTTATCATCGAGAATCACTTATGCATTATATCGGCTAGTAGAGTTCTAATTTATCTAAGAGTGTTTCTAACTTGAATACCGAAGGAATACAACTCCTGAAAAGTGTACCACATGTGTCAATCCTAATCTCCTTGTTGTCCCAAAAGTCTTTGTACAAATTACAAAGTGTTTGCTCTCAAATAGTACTTACATTCTCCCACTAGAGCAAATACTTTGTAAAGTTGTATAATTATACTTGAGTTGGAAAGAATCTGTATTGGTCATGAGATTAGTATTCGACACTTCTTAGTTTACCAGTCTTTGTCATTGTCAAGCATTTATGTGAACTATAGGGTAACACACTCAATTCATTGAAGAGTACCATCCCCATAATTACTTACAATAAAACTTACCAACACATAAGACTCCAGCAAGATATATGATATGTAAGACACAGCTGAACATGTATTAAATGTGTTAAACATTTGGTCCATTTTCCGAATTGAAAACGATCTTTGTGCTTCTATATGAAGCCCTTAGGATGTCTATCACTTTATAATGAATGAAAAATCATAAAGTATCATGTAATAAACACATTCATGCATTATCATAACTAATAGTTGAACTCTTTAAGGGAACTTGAACAACCTTTCAACATTATTCTTTACTAGCTAAGAAAACTTCATCATTAATACTCAAAACTTATCCTCCATAGCATAAACTGTAACTGAATAAAAACTAACATAAAGGTTAAACCAATTACATAACTCCCACTAATTCGCTGCATCGAAATCAGCCAAGACTCTCATTCTAGTGACATGCTTCTTAAAGACAATCATGAGAACTGCTTTATTTAATGGATCAACAATCATTTATCCAGTCTCCAAATAATCGACTTTAACTAATCCAGCTACCACCTTCTCTCGAGCAATGAAATACTTTCTATCCAAGTTCCTTGTTGCATTAGACCTCTTATTATTCTTAGTAAAGAATATGGCTGCATTGTTATCACATAAATCTGTATAGGTCTCGATATAGAATCCACAGCTTGAAGCCCAAGTATGAAGTTCTTCAACCAAATAGCTTGATCCACTGTTTCACAAACTGATAAATATTCGACAACTATAGTTGATGCTGTCACAGTTCCGTGTTTCACATTTTTCCAAGAGACCGCACCACATGCCTTTAGGAAAACATAACCTGTCATCGATTTCATATCATATGGGTAACCTGTGTCTAAATCATTATATCCTTCCAAAACCAAACTCCGA